GTCCTCCCTGAGCCTCCTCTTCTCCAGGCTAAAACAACCACAGCTCTCAGCCACTCCTCATAGGACTCATGCTCCAGACCCTTCAACAGGATCTCGTTGTTTTAATTAAAAACATATGGAGAATAACATTAAGACATATTCCTTAACGGTTTTAACCCTAGGCATGATGCCGAGAAGACAACGGCTCCTGCTTGCCAATACTGCCATGAAATGTTGCACAGGCTCCAAACACAGGGAGAATGCTTTGTTTGCAAAGCACTGTCAAGTTCTCCTGGAGCCTCAGTAACATGATCATCATTTTCCAATCACTTAATGACTTTCTTCAAAGAAATCGTGAGACTCATCTTCCTTACTGTGTTAAAGATCAATTCTAACCTTGTGCGTTTTACACCACTCACTCAAATGAATTGAGCACGCTATTCCTGAGACAGGAATGTGCTCAGTGGTTAAAGATAATTGCCCCTTACTTTGATGGACATAATTTTTACAAGCTAACCGAAAGCATTTATGCACCATCACATAGGAACTGTTGCTCTTAGGTGGGATTCTTTTAACTACAGAATGTAACTAGAATTCTACCCAAAAGGAAAATACGAAGAAGTATTTTTCTAGACAAGTCTTAGTAATTTCTTTTGTTAGCAGCTTGAAGTATCATAATGGTATTTAATAAAGCTGTGTTTATACACATGACTTTTAGTATTCAGCCTTCCAAACAGAATCCTGTACAGACCATGCCGCAAGAACACAGTAGTAAAATCACTAGTAGTGACTCTTAAAGAGTTTGCATAAAACCTGACATCTTGACTCTACAGTGGACAAGAATTACCAAGAAAGAAAAGCCACTCTGAAAGCTCTGAGAAGTTTATAAACTGATAGACATCTTCAACAAAGAATATTGAAGATATGCCACACATAAAGGGCAACATACAACAAGTGCCTTAAGCAGAATGCATAAACCAATGTATGCCAGATGATCAACCACCACCCTCAAAGTAGAGTGTGTGTGTCTCTGAAAGAGTAAACATCTTTATACACTGAATGCATAAATGCCTTCACTCAAAAAACCCGTGTAACTAAAATAACTATCCAGACACTCTGGATATCTAGAGTAAAGATAGACAAAATAATCTTTTAAGCACATATGATTGCCTACACCATTCATTCTTTGTTATGGGGATTGCACCTGGGAGGTTCAGTATGTTAGAAATGGAGAATGCTATAGACAGAAAGAAAACTTAATTGAATTCTCCCCAGGTTCAGTATGTTAGAAATGGAGAATGCTTTAGACAGAAAGAAAAATTAATTGAATTCTCCCCAATAAACACCTTGTAAATTGATGCTACATAATGAATAATTATTAGATTCGCTTAGCAGTAGTAAGAGGTATGTTTTGGTCACCCAGATGGTACTTCCCAAATCAATCACGAAATAAAAAATATTATTGATTGTTGTTGTTCTGCACCAAAAAGCAACCTATGAGATGGTGAAATGGATTATGCTTGTTTCTTTGATCTTTTCCAAACAGATTTCACTCAATAAACTGCTTATATGTTTTTGTAAACACACCATACTGGAGGCAGTTGTTCACTGTCAGGAAAATTTCTTTGGGTGAGAGGAATGAAGAGCAACTAAAAACAGGTCTAGAGGGATTTCTTGAAGACAAGTAAACAGCATTTCTAAACTCCGAGACGGGTGAACAAAAATGTATCTACCATTGTACTAAAAGAAAAGATCTTCCTACACAAACTGTAATCTGACAAAACCATGATGTACACCCCCGTTATTAAACTTTCGATGCAAGGGACAATTTCTATCAAATCTCAAAGGGACCCAGTCTCAGATAACAGTGACAACTTCACTCTGCCTAGCTTGTATTGGTTCCATTGCTTCCTCCTCACTTAAACATATGCTGAACTTGGAAGGAAACGTGTGATAAATAAGGGGGCTGAGGAGGAATTCCCTGCTACGTGGGAGAAGTGCAGCAACACAGGACTGTTAAAGACAAACGGCAACAGGACTAGGGATAATAGCTGCTAATGCAAGACATTATACACAATGTAGGAAGGTGAGGAACAGGGTGAAATCTCGGGTGAAAGAGATACTTCTTGAATAAATTTGTAATTTTGAAGCCATGTGTAGCTTTTGAACCTATTTAAGGAACATACTAGTATCAAGTTCTCACCACGACATGCACTTGTTTACATCTTAATGATAACCAGAGACTTGCAGGCCCCTCTCATGTGAGCATGCCACTATGTTTGAAAGGCACTGAATTTGCTGATCTACCTTTAACCAGATTCCCTGGAGTATAGCTTTAAGGTATCACTGAAAAAATACTGAACGTCACAGCATACAAACTATTCTTATACAATCAGAAGGCAGATGATTAGTTAATATAATACATTAATATAACATCAGGCGCAGACAGAAGCAAATAAAGTACATTTCTGCAGACGAGATTAGCATAGATGTTTAAATGGATTAGGAAGCTTCAGTGACAGGAGGTATATTTAATATATAAAATCCAGATAATGAGAAGCAGTGGAAAAAATAGGGTAACTTGTCATGTGTCCAAGAAATATCTTCATAAAGAAGCTGTCAGATATAAACACTTCTCATCAACAAAACACTCTGCATCCGATCAAGGCACATTTAATTCAGAAGGTACAATGCACCTCACCATGGATTTTATAATTATTAATATCTTTGAGCAACTGGATATCTCTCTACTGAAACAAGACTTACCTTCTCCTGTTAAACAACTCCTGCCTGACACTTATGATTAGTTGGACGTAACGATTGTTGGTTTATTCTAGCAAAGGAAAGTTAAAAAGGGATATGATCAATATGTAGAAATATACCCAGAGGCAAACACCTGAGAAGGGTAAGAACTAATTACATGCAATACCATGCTGGCATAAGGACAAATGCTAATAATTTGGCCATGAAGAAATTCAGGCTGGAAACAAAACAACCTGATGTTTTCAGATGAAAATTCACAATTTTGTGATGAAGAGGACTTGGCTTTTCCTATTACAAGGGCCTGAGCTTAAGTGACCCAAGATGCCCTCTATTTTCAGTCATCAGTCCTAAAAACACAATTGATTTTAACACTCTTGCAAAACAACTTTATGTTAAATCCTGTAATAAATCTGCTCACTGGAAAAATATTATATCGATTATAAATGATAAGAGAAAAATACATATAAACTCAGACGTGCATGAATTTCCAGAGGTTTAAAATTTGATTTGCATAGTTCCAAAAAAACATGGATGCTTATTTAAGCTATCAAGACTACGAAGGATCCTTTCCACCAACAGGTAGGGCTGCGTAAATCCTAGTACAGCAACAAACTCTGGAAGAACCTTTCACTTCCTATCAATATTCCTTATTCTTGTGCCTTTCCCAAAAAATTGAGGAGAGAAGAGGTCTGACATGGCATGCCTTAACATCACAGGAAATAAATAACAACCTTATCATCTTTGATGTCTTCTGGAATTTGTTTTTCTCTCCCTGTCACAAAAACTTGAGAAAATAATACTGAAGATTAACCAGTGCACATAGGGGATGCTCCAATCAATCACAAGCCTGGCCCCTTCACTGGCCACTTTCACTGACTTTGGTAAATGTTACACAAGAACCTATTGAAAGCACACACAAATTTAGCAAGTATTTCAATGCTTTGTTTCACAGGATGCTTTTTTTCTGAGTCATGAAAATAGCAAACTCTACATTAGGAATGTTCCCTCAAGGTAGGTAAACCACTTCATCCTTAGATTAGATTGATTTGTACTTCTCAAGGAACCATAAAAAAATCTGTTCCATGGTCAGTTGATCCTCCATCAGATCCACATTTTAGTCTCAGCTTTTGCTACCTAGTATCTTTTCAGTCATCAAATACAATGGCCTTTTCAGTGTCTTGTGCAATACTCATGTTCAACAGAAATGCCATTTAGATTATCCAAACTTTGTTCAAAACGTAGAACAAATTAATTGCATTGTTTCACCTGTAAAAGTATTTTCAATTCTTTCCCTTGTCCTCCTCTTTTTCTTAAACGGATTGTTTAAAAAACCCCAACAAAATACACACGATGTCGAAAAATGCATGTCCTGGTAAATCACCTTCTTTTTCCCCCAAAATCCATAACTTAGCATATATGTAGCTTTTATGCAATGAACATTCAAGCACTCCTAGTCTGGGAAACCAAGACCATAACCTGACAAACATTCTCTTTCTAGACAAAAGCATACTTAAAGAAAAGAAAAAGATAATGCTGATTACTGCCAGTTTAGTCATCTTCTGTGTTTATTGATATGATACCTAATTTTACCCTTAATTACCATTGCTTTATTAAAAATATGACATTATTTGGGGGGACAAAAAAATTTGTTCATCAGATAGGTTGGGTTTTTTTCAGGAAAAAATATCCTTTTCAGTTTGAATGACTTCCCACACTACTCTTCACTTCAGACTGAACCAAAAAGCAACTATTTACAAGGTTCAAATCTGAAGTTATTAAAAATGGCTTTATACTCTCAAACTTCACTTTCCTATCTTTCTTTCCTGATAGGAAAATACCTATTGCAAGCAAGATTTATTTGCAGCACATGGAGGGCACTCGCTAGTATATCTTCTTTTTATTTCTCCCCCCACTCCTTTTATTTTTCTCTATAAATTGAAGTGCTGTGGGTAGCAAAATAAAGATTATACTATTAAATACATAATATATGCATTTAGAGATGTATTCACCACTACATCCCTATTTATAGAACGGCAATTTCTAAGAAATTAAAAACAAAAATACGGGCAGCTTTTGCAGGTGGAAAGTGAAATGTCCTTACAGAAGCTTTAAGCAAATTATCTTTGTGCTAATAGAGTGCTATGACTGCTCAAAAAAACTGAGTGCATGTGATGACTCTATAAATATACCCACTATTCTTACAGAATTGAGGACGCTGTATATCACTGCATTCTTATTCTGCCTCATTTAATACTCACAGACAGACTGTAAGAAGGTTCCAGTATCACTGGCACTGACATCTTCCCTTGAAGATTCAATTTTGTTAAGTAAAAAATCTTTTCTCCCACAATCCTCTCTTTTTTCATGCGACGTACACTGTACAGTCTAAAGCGAACTGCATAATTCCCAATCATCTCAGACTCAACGTGATTAAATTTGAATGTCTCTGTGAAGACAGGGCATGGTCCCCGCTGGATGCTGGTTTTTGCTCTCTGCTTCTTTATAGGGAGAAGAACTAGGTGTACTTGCCACGAGCTTCCACCTGTCCTGCTGTATGTGGGAATGTCTGTGACAGCTGTCACTGTCACCAAAAGCTTCTGCTCCTGTGAGTCATAGTCAAAAGTCACATCCAGTGTGCCATATTTAGCTACTGGCTCAGGATCAAAAGGTTTAGGAAGCTGTGAAGATGATCCTCGAGCTGACATATCCTGAAAAAGAAGAAAAAAAAAAGGGCATTTATTTATTTATTTATTGTATTCTATTATTAAATCTAACACAGAAATATATGGCTTTCTCCAAGCAATATGAAGGCATTAAGAGCTTTTTGTTCATCTCATAAACAAGGTTGTTAAACACCAAAAGCCCAAGCAGAGGACTGACTAGCATCCAAGAGGAAATCAAATGACTTCACTGGTCAGTACCACCAAAAGGCAGGAGCCAATCAGACAGAGCTCCTACTGAATTAGGCTGTACAATCTATACACATTTGTTACAAGACAGAACTACCTTATTTCAGTGCAAGTATGCACAGATTTTTAAGTTAACATATTACAGTGTTTGAAGAGATAGCTAGTGATTGAGGGCACAGTGAGATGCCAGTAAAGAATACATGGATTGCAAACCTACTTCCACATGTGGCTCTTGCGGCAGTCCACCAGAGTTCTGTGAATGTGCCAAAAATTATCATAGGATCATCAAATGGTTTGGGTTGAAGGGACCTTAAAGATCATCTATTTCCAGCCCCCCTGGCATGGGCTGGGATGCCACTCACTATCATGGCTTTATTTATGTAATTTTACTGGAACTGTGCAAGATGCATCTGTTTTGAACACGCCTTCTGAACTTTCTGTAAACTGCATCAGCCCTAAAACTGTACTTTAAACTTTAAATTCAGATTGTTTAATGACACTTCAGATTTTGAACAAAATATTGATCCCCTATACTGTTCCATCAGTTTGATAGTGACACTGAAACACAAAATATTTACAAGTACAGGTCAGCCTACTGCTCACACAATAAGTTATTCCAAGTATGTAAAACAATTGTATTCCAAGTGTATCTTTATAATATCAAAGATACACTTGTTTATGTGAATGAATAGATGCCACAACAAAGCCTTTTGAGTTAAAAAACATTCTTATTTTGACCTGGTTGCTACATAGTTATGGGAATTCATTCTTCTGAAAGAAAAGAAAAAAAAAAGAGCCTCTTCTGCACATGACATCACTAATTAGATTTACTCATGTCAGTTCAGTAACTGGTTGTTGAAAAAGAGCCTCTTCTGCACATGACATCGCTAATTAGATTTACTCATTTATATCAGTTCAGTAACTGGTTGTTAAAGACATTTCAAAGAATTGAGAGTCAGAAAAGATCATTTCTTCACAGAAAAAATAAATAGATATCATTACAGTTTATAGTAGAAAATAGGAAAATTAAGATGACCAAATCACTATACCACATCAACCATTTTTAAAAAAACAACTTTGTAATATTCTTTTTCTTTTCACAAAAGTTGTTTTACATTACGGGGTGTTCAATTTGAAAAGCATTAACAGAATTTTTCTTTTTTTGAGTTGTTTGAAAAATTATGACTACAGTCCTTATAGTGTGATGAAGTTCCCTGACTGGTTTAAAAAATAATTCACTATTACTGGGAGCTTGTTTCAAAGTTAAGGTGCCATAAAGGTAACTATAACAATCTGAACAACATGAAATCCTGTCGTAATTTTTTCTGACAAACTATTTTTTTAAAAATAAATGAGCTGCAGTGTTCGTGCCTATGTAACTGTGCACTCATCTTTAGAAAAAGAAGGCGCTCAAGGTGTGCACACTGCATGGTGCTTCAGAACACACAACTCTTTTCATTTACCTCTGGACTAAGAACAGCGGTGCTATCACTTGGGACATCCTCTTCGTATCCTTTGTTATGAAAGCTTTCTATTTCATGCCCCATGCTTCCCTCACTTGGGCACTTATATGAACATCTTGGACTGTTGCTACACTGCGAATATTCACATTTACTGTCTCCAACTTCGGACGGTGTGCACGAAAGATGAGGAGAACCACTGTCATCCTGGTATGGAGGAGGCTGCAGCTCATCTAGTGGAGGTGTTCTTCTCATCCTCTGAATGCAGTTCGCTGAGAATAAGTGAAAATTCTTTACTTACTTTATGATTATTTACTGATGAAACAATTGCGTGGAAAATGGTAAGTCTAAATGTCTGGACAGAGTATTTAAAAATCTACGTATGTGGTTTTTTTACTTTACGTTTCAAATTAGATGAGAAATACTACTGAAAAGAAAGGTTTGTTAAGAATGGAAATGAGTGAACTCTCAGATGAAAGAAATTTAGACAAAAGCAAAGTTTTAAGTGCATAGTCAGAATGGATTGTGCAAACCATATATAAATAAATATAGCACAAATATGACATGACAAAAATTCTAGGCTGGAATTTCAGGGATGCTTACCTTGCCAAAACCTTTGGATATCTTAAGTCAGATTCAGTGCAGGTGGAATGTAGACCAATTACGGAAACAAAATGTACTTCCTAAATCCACGATATCATACTGATTACCTCCAATGCAGTTGCCCCCCAGGGAGACATTAAATTAAACTCTGAAGACAAATAAGGTTCTAATAAAGGCAGGCACAAGCCTTTTCACACAAGTGAACTTTGCTCACCGGTGAACTTTACAAGTGGTGTCTCAGATTCTTTATTACTTGTTAAGGACAGCTAAAGGGTATGTATCCAGTGTCTGGAAGTCAGACACTAGATCTAGTCACTAAAGACAGTAGAAAAAGGATCATGAGCAATCTTGTGCTTGGGATGAATACTTGATGCTGACCATCTTTGCTTCTCACACTAGACAGATAGATAGAAATGTGGTTATACATCTCCTCAGAAAATAAACCTGATGCATGGCTACAGGATGTGGTTATACATCTCCTCAGAAAATATACCTGATGCATGGGTACAGATAGAGAAAGCTAGTTCAAAATAATTACATTTCCATTTTTTTATCTCATACAGTTGATTAGGACTGGGAAAAGAGAGCAAGATGTGCAGTAGCTGAAATGAAAGGAATATCAAGGATAGGTAAAGACCTGTATCACATTTATTTTACATCTTCTGTAGAGGTTTTAATGAAGATTTCGATACCCCTCACACAAAGAACTGCCTTATACATAAAAATTTCAAAGCAAAACTGTTTTCTGGTGTCAGACATACCACTTGCACTCACAGAAAAATCAACCAAACAAGGAAGTTAACGAAAGTATTAACAATAGAACAGTATAAGCTTTGATTTCAGATTCATCTAAGAAAAAAACTGATCTTCCCACATGACAAAGGTGGCACATTTAAGTTTCATCATCATTTTGTATACAGGATTGACCTGACTATGTCCTGAATTCTCACCAAGCACATCAACCTTTTAACTGTTTCAGAGGTAATCACCAGTTGTTCAGCATAACACATAGACAGAGTATGTGTAAGAGTTATCTTTATAGAAAAGCCTGAGAACAGTTATGTAGCTCTCCTGGGAAACAAAGAGTCTTAGCAAAAGGTTCCCTTTTGCTCTGGTTTCCTTCGGAAAGCTGGGCTGTGTCTGACTGTGGCATGATGTCCACAGCCTCTAGGACTTGGTGATTGTGGTGCACACTGCCCATGGGAAGCAATGCCAGATACATCAGCTAGAGGGGAGCCAATGTGCACTGCAGATCCCCAAAGCTGGGCAGGAAAAGGACAGTTCATTATGGAGCATCTCTACTGCACATAAAGGCCTCAGAGATAACTGGGGAATGCAGGGACCTTCTCTATTTCAGTGGCTCCTAGTGGAACTCCTCTTAGGTTTAGCTAAGGCAAAGGAGTAATTAAAACACTCCTACCAGATGAAACCACTGTCAGGAATCCTCTCTTCTCTGATAAGAGAAGCCTACCACTCAGAGTGATTCCAAATCACTGTTACAGCACTCCTGCAAAAGGTTTTCTGCTGTTACTTAGCCCAGAGCCACTAAGCATTGAAACTCCAGTCCCATGGGGCTGGAAAGCAGAACAGCCAGTAGGGAATCCTATACTCAATTTTAAAATCTAAACTGAAATTTTCATCACAATAAAATGATAATATATATCCTTTGACTCTCTACACCACGAAAACAGGACTTCCTTTTCATGATTTAAATAATTCAATATTCTAGCAAATTTAGAGCAACAATATTTCTGCTCATTGTTGCTAAAAGGCAACAAACAGCATTAAACAAGACACTAACCACCTTCCAACCCTGAACTTAATTTATTTCTTTTCACTTGTAATCCAGTCTGCAAAGACTTTTTAACTACCAGCTTTTCCAGAGTCTAACAAAATGAAAGTGTGTCCAGGTAACTGTCAACACCATTGTTGTCTTACATGAGTAAATAAATGTGTGACTCACTTTTTTTCACTTTGATGAACTCCATTATATGTCCCTATGGGAAAACTGTACAGGCTGTGTGACAAAAAAGGTGCTTTTAATGTAGGCAGGGAAGAAGTGAAGAAAAGAAAACTCTTATTAACCAGACATGATTCAAAACTCTCAGAAAAAGCTAAAACACCAGGGCAGCTTTTAACTATATATTTTCCAAACTTTAGTCTACTGAACAGCAATAGCATGTAAATTCTTGAAACAAATATCTAGGATTAAAAATCTAAGGACACCTCTATCTAAACAGGTATAACTGGTTTTGAAAAAAAGCTTTCTCTACATAATAAGATATAAAAGCTTTCAAATTAATTTTGAAAGTGAAAATGTCTCATTCGAAATTAATTTCCCCCTCCTCACAGGAAGTGATACAATAAAATGATGATTTTATTATTATGGCTCTCTGAAAATACTGAAGACTTGAATTCCATTAAAATATTCTAATGACTGATGATATCAAAGGCAAATTGATATCACACACAGAAGTGAACCCAGCAACACCAAATATCTGATACTTAAAAATTACAAAGAAGCAGCAACTAATTTCAACAATCAATCTGTCAACAAAATTTTACATATGTATCAAAGTTTAAAATACAGAACCTCTGTAAATGCCTGCTGGCCTATCACTGATTGTATGGGAGAAAAACATTTGGAGCTGAAAGGAAAGCATGACCTGAAGTATTTGCATATTTATACATAGAACCACTGTCTATAAGATACCTTGTACCTTGCATTTAAGGTGCTAACTTAGGACAGTTAGACTTGTGCACACTTCTGCCCTGTGACAAAGCCAAAGAATACCTTCCAAAACCCACTGGATGTGGTTAATAACATCTGCTATAGAGTTACTCCTAGCAAGCAGATGGCTTTTTGAAAGGAAAGGAAAGCATGACCTGAAGTGTTTGCATATTTATACATAGAACCACTGTCTATAAGATACCTTGTACCTTGCATTTACTAACTTAGGACAGTTAGACTTGTGCACACTTCTGCCCTGTGACAAAGCCAAAGAATACCTTCCAAAACCCACTGGATGTGGTTAATAACATCTGCTATAGAGTTACTCCTAGCAAGCAGATGGCTACACTGACAATCTAAATCATTGGATTGTTTCCATGCAAGTTTCCCCATGAAACTTCCACTCTCAAATCAGATAGAAAATAAATTTTCCTAATTTCCCCCAATGAAATCAATCATATTAAATGACCATACAAGTTTGGACTAGACAGGGTGAAAAGCGAGCCAACTTGTATCCCAAACATGGAAGAAACAAATACAGAGACACAGGTTTAGCCTGAGGTTCCTACCAGCCAGGAAATGCTAGAAGAGAGGAAAGACAAATAGAAAGATCCCACATCCGGTTTTCCACCTGAAGTATGTGAAATGACTGCATTCTCGTAGTATGATGAAACTAAGTCATTTAGTAACAAATATTTGGTCAATTCTACATGGCGAATACAGAGTATTGCTGTCAATGGGCAGATTTGAATAGTCCATTTTCAAAGGGTTAACTGCTTTAATATAAATTTGATTCCTTCCTTAGTGGGCTGTGAAAACACTCATAAAGTGGCAGTAGTAAAGTCCTTGCTTAAGAGCTGAAGAAACCAGAACCACAAGTGAAATCCCAAACAAACACTAGCAGATTAGCATTTTGCTGGTACACTCAGTAATTGCATCATGTAAAGTGTCATTAGCACACTTAAGCCAGAAGGAAATAAATATCTTCTTTTTAGTACTGGTTGTTAAACAATGAAGGTTAATCTGTTTTCTTAAGTCCCTGTAGGACAGATTGCAAACCAAGGGGAGATGATACATATCTTGGGGTCAACCTCAAGAGACTGTCAGTTAAATCTGACACAGCAACCTAGGCCAAACTGAGCATTCCTGGAGCATAAAATTGATAGCTATGAGAAAATACACACATTTTTTTCAGTCAATTTTTTCTGGGCAGAATCAAAGTTTAAAGATGCACAAGTTTACTGTAAGAACTGCTTTAGGTTTTCAGTTACCATTTGAGCTTGCTCCTTCCAATATTCCTCATTTCTCCTCCCTGCCCTGGTCTCTAGTGGAACATGCTAGGCTGCCAGCACTTCACCACGCAGCTGGTGATGTTCTTTTCAGATTTACAGTGTTTAGACTTTGCTATCTTAATTAATTTTCCCAAAGGTTCTCAGCAGCAGCACAAACCTAGTCTTCTTTAGCCCATATTACCTGAGTAATTCTGAGAACACCCATCTCTCAACATACAACAACTGTCCTTGTGGCTTTAATTCCCCTGTCTCACAATTAACTACACTTTTGCAACCTGGAGTTTCTCATATATATATATTACTTTTCAAAAAACTCATACTATTGTGGGAGGCCACATTACTGCAACATTTCTTTTGGAATCTTGTTTCCAGTTCCTTTCAAACAAACAATCACTATATAAATCAGTAATTTTTGCAAGTCATATTTTGTAATTATCAGAATATCTTCATACTCGAATGGTGCCTTTCCTTTCTCTAATGTATCTCCACATATGCCATGCCACATAATGATTTATTTTTTTAATTGAATGTAAATTTCAGGTTTTCAAGCCTTCAAGGGGTTCTATGAAAATGTTAAGACAATTTAAATAAAACATAAAATGAAATACATGTTTAAAAATTAAAGAAACCTTTCTTATTCTGAATG